TCCCCCTGGGTAGAGTGCCGTGGCATTACAGCTCACAGCAACCTCCAACTCCTGGGCTCAAGCGAGTCTCTTGCCTCTGCCTCCCAAGTAGCTGGGAACACAGGCACCCACCACAACGCCTGGCTATTTTTTGGTTGCAGCCGTCATTGTTGTTTGGCGGGTCCGGGCTGGGGATTCGAAACCGCCACCTTAGGTGAACGTGGCTGGCACCTCAGCCGGTTGAGCTATAGGCGCCGAGCCGAGAGCTGGATTTTCCTTTTTAGAGCCCATGGTGAGGCTGAAGGGTAGAGATGAAGGTTGCCTATAGCAGCATGCAGCCTTCAGCCACTGCTTCTAGCAATTCAGCTCTGCCCCTGGCTTGCACACTTCACCCAGCAAAGCAAAAGCTGTGCTGCTTCTCAGAAGGCAATATGTGGAGTACCTGTGGTTGTCCAAGCATGTCCTGTGGGTATCTCACTCCACATCCCAGTCAGCTTATTGAGGGATTCTTTTGAACCCTCCAGTGTGTTCCTTGGGATGCCCTCTGTCTCCCACACCTATGCTGATGTCTTGGCCATTTTTGTAGCTTGTTTCCTTGTCAGTTGCCTGTTATAAGAGGTTCTATTCCCAACCTGGGCAGCTGCCTTCATCCCAACTCTGCACTACATTTTTCTCTTCCTAGAAACCTTCCCTCTTCCTCATGTTGAAACCTCTTGGACTGTCCCCATTCTTGGTACAGTCTGGCTGCCCCAGGCTCTGTTTCTGGCTGCTTTGCTCTCCATTAGCCTGAGATCTCTGGGCAGATCCTTCTCCTGCACCCAGGAGGGGAATGCACAGCTCAGCTTGTGCCTGGGGCTCTGATGGTGGCTTGGGGCTAAAATTCTCTCCTACCTCTCTGCACTCATCCCATCCTCAGGCCAGTCTGAACACAAGGCTGGAAACTTCTCCTTCCTCTCCTTCAGGAAGCTAGGAGTGTGGGAGTCAAGGCTGGTGCTAGGAAGGGCTGGGCAGGTCATCTTTCCCACCCACCCCACCAGACTGTGGGCTCTTGCGGTTGTTCCCTCCTCCTCTTCCTTTCCAGACTCAGGTGGGGACGTGGCTCAGCTGTAAGCTCCGTGGCTGGGATGGCAGGAGGTTACACTATTCCTTTCCCTGCTTTAGGGTCAGGGCAGCCCTTTTCTTAGATCCAGGGTCTCCCCATCAAAATGATGTAAGAAGAAGGCTCTTCAGCCTTGTGTGAAGGAAATACTAACAGCTTGAGAGGCTTGAGTCCCACCTCTGTCATTTCCTAGTGGTGTGACTTTGACCAAGTGACGGAATCTCTCTGGGCTTTGGTTTCTTCCTCTGTAAAAAGTGGTTAATAAAAATACTTATCTCACAGGACTGTGTGATGATTGTGTCATTCAAGATCCAGAAGGAAACTAAATTCACCCAACGTAGCCATTTACATGGACTTTATTTTTATTTTATTTTATTTTTTTGAGACAGAATTTCACTATGTCACCCTCAGTAGAGTGCTGTAGTGTCACAGCTCACAGCAGCCTTAAACTCGTGAGCTTAAGCAATTTTTTTGCCTCAGCCTCCTGATTAGCTGGGATGATAGGTGTCTGTCACAAGGCCCCACTTTTTTTTTTTTTAATAGTTGTCATTGTTGTTTAGCAGGCCTGGGCCAGATTCAAACCTGCCAGCCCCAGTGTATGTGACTGGCACCCTAACCATTCAGTTATGGGCACCAAGCCTACATGGACTTTAAAAGATAGCATAGTTTCCATTTTATTTTTTCCTAGAGGATAGCCTTTCCTCAAGGCTCAGTGTTCAGGGACTCAGCCCCTTCCATGAAGGCTATGGGGCAGTGGCACAGGCCTAAATCAGGGTGGGGGTGTTGGGTCCTCGAAGGCTTCACGAGCGCTACCTAACTACTGCCCTGCTGTGAGTGGCACCACTCATGAAGTAATGCAGTTTCCCATGCAGGTTGGAAAGCATGCAATGTTGAAGACACTGGGTTTGGAAATGTCCCTGAGGGCTGTGGCCTCTACTGTGTTTTGAACAATGGACTTCTCTGGGGCCTTGTCCTCATGCAGACTCAGGTGCAGTTTGTGCAGTGAATGGGCTGTGATGGCTCTGGCCCTTTTTGGCACCACCATTGTTCCTTCTTTGTCATCCTGGAAGTAAAACATGAGAGAGTTAAATTGATTTTAAAGTGAAGGAGTTTGAGGAACGTGGCTCCCTAGTATAAAGAGTATTTTTTACCTGTAATCCTACTACTCTGGGAGGCCAGAGGTGGGAGATCGTTTGAGCTCAGGAGTTCAGACCGGCCTGAGCAAGAGTGTGATGAGACCTCATCTCTACTAAAACAAACAAACAAACAAAAAAACCCAAAACAACTTAACCTGGCATTGTGGTGGGCACCTGTAGTCCCAGCTACTCAGGAGGCTGAGGCAGGAGGATTACTGGAGCCCAGGAATCGGAGGTTGCTGTGAGCTAGAGTATATCTCACTCTACCTGGGGCCACAGTGCCAGACTCTGTCTCAAAACAAAAAAACAACAACCACCAAAACACCCCTTGTGTTTTGAATTAAAGGTCCCTAGAGACTAACACACTAAGAGAGACTTTTCCTCTTTATACACAAGACCAGACAGATCCACCAAGGAGAACAATTGTCTCCTCCTCAAACCTCTCCCACTTTCTGCCCCATACTCTTGCTCAGGCGTCCTCAAACTATGGCCCGTGGGCCACATGCAGCCCATCTAGCACATTTATCCGGCCTGCCGGTGTTTTTGCTGCCGCAGCCTGTCCTGCTTAGCAGCTGGCTTGTCCCAAGGCCTGGCCCTCCAACGGTCTGAGGGACAGTGAACTGGCCCCCTGTTTAAAAAGTTTGAGGACCCCTGCTCTTGATCCTTTACTTCTCCCCATATACACACTGAAGTTCCCTTATCTGCCTGAAGTCCAGACCTATCAAAGAAGAAAACAATTACTTCTAGTTCCTTCCCCGAGTTTTCATTAACTGAACCCATATCACGGAAAGGGAGGCTAAAGTCTGTCAATAAACTTGGGCAGACTTTTGTTACAAATCACTGTCTGCTCTTCAGTCCCCACAGACTTTGTCCCAGACCACTGTATGTTCTTTAAATCCATTGAATTCTCCTAAAAATCATTTATTATTTCCCTAAAATAATTTACCCTTTCCCATTTCCTGTTCCCTTAAGAAGTAGGGTATATAAGCTTTTGTGGCCTTTTGGATGTTGGCAATCACTCTGGTTCTCCTGTGTACACAGTAGTAATAAATTTACATGCTTTTTTCCCTATTAATCTGCCATTTTGTGGGTTGAATTTTTAGTAAACCTTCTGAGGGCAAAGGGGAAGCTTCCCCTTACCCCCCAAAATGAAAGGATTAGGTACAAAGGTGTGGGTGAGACAGAAGAGACTAGGGCTGGAGAGGCCAGAGACAGGGCACCAGCGCTAGGGTGCCCAGCCCTACCCTGGAGCTAGGGTGCCCAGCCCTCTTGGTTTATCCAGGATCTAGGGGACTTTCAGTGCTGAAACCACCAGGCAATCCTGGGAAAACCAGGACGAGCTGATCACCTTGGGAACAGAGGAGTGGGGTGGCCA